AATATCATGAGTATCCTTGTGTAGTGAGCTTCAAAAAAACACCCCAGAATGCGAGCATGATTTGGATGTAATGCATGATATGCAAATTAGCCTTATGGTGCAAATGAGTTGCCTTATTAGGCTTCAGCTCACTTAGTGAAATTCTAAATCCAGAGTGAACTAGAGAAGTGGAAACAGAGGTCTTGTTTAGACACAGTGAGGTGGTTGTAAAACATGTATTCTCCCAGTGGTTGTAATTACTGATATGAACCCTGACACTGGTGCCAGTTGTATTTGATGTGAAAATGCTGGATGCAGAACCTCAGCTATCAACATCTCCTTGCTCCAAAGCCACATACTGTACACAAGTGTGTTAAGGTAGATGTTCAGACTAGGTGTGAGATCTCAATTGTCTGATGCAGATGATGGTATAGGACTTCCGTTCAGAGTGAGGCTGAAATGTTTGTGTGGTAGTTACTGAGTACAACCTTTGAAATCACAACACACATGATCCCTTGTTATTTTTTTTATTTGACTTAAGATAACCAGACAGGTCTGTGAGGGAACTTTAAATACACCAGCTTTGTGTCTTGAATTCATAATTCTCAAAAGCAATGTGGATATTCTAACATTTCAGTTTGAATCCCTGGATGAGTGTATACATTTAGAAATCTAGACATACAGTTCGCCACCAAGTCTCCAAACTGTTCTCCGTATTCCACTATATCATCAAGTAGAAGACTGGAGTGTAGCACACATGTCCAGATTCACCTAAATAAGTCACATGATGTTATCACAACTGTACTCGCACACACACCGACACAAAAGCTAAAGAGCCGGAGGGTGAGCTGGAGAATGGGAAGTGAAATAAACAAGACCTGTGCAGTCGCTTTGTCTCCTGTCCACCAGGAACGCAGAGTCTAATTCAACCTGTACATTAGAGCCTCTGTGGCTCTTGTATTGACTGTGAGAGAAGCCTGGCAGGAAACCAGGGGAGCATGAAATGAATCAATTTAGTTGGAAAGTGTGGGATCATGAAAGGAAGTGTTATGAAGATTATTATTATTATTATTATAGCATTATATAATTTTCATATCACATGATTTTATATAATGTTATATGAGGAACAGTGGCGGCTGTGGGGAGGAGAAGGGGAAAACCAACCCACAGGGTCATGGTATTTTATACTAGTTGGCTACAAACTAGGATGAGGTCCTGAGTTAGTTGAGTGGAGTGCAGCAGCACATTGGGCCACCACACGGCACCATAGTCCCACTGTGGGTCCAGCCCGGACAGCTGAGGCAGTGAGGACCGAGGCTGCACCAGCAACACAGAGTTTTCCATCTGCTCCCAGCGACATCCTGCCGTGACCCCCAGTCCAAATCTCGCCGGTAGTTTAAAAGTCCTTCAGGGCTGCTACAACAAGATAACTGTTGTGTTGCCTAACACAAGTAGCTAGCTACTGCTCCATTAAAAAAAAAGGGAAACTTAAACCCGATAAAGGTCATTTTGGACTTTTTTAGGGATATGTCTATAAGTATATAAGTAGTTTGCAATTCACACGTTATGATTTCTTTTCTAATATACTCCTGTAGGAGTCTATATCACTTCACTGCCAGTTTGTCACACTTACATACAGTACAGTTGTAAAAGGTTGAGGATAAACAGTACAGAGTCTAGACCTGCTCTGTATGAAAAGTGCCTCTAGAGAGCTTCTGTTGTGATTTGACGCCATATAAGAAAAATTTACTCGACTGCAGAGAAGAACAGACCTGTTAGTGTTACTCTGATACAGTAGTTTCCAGGACCCACAATATAATGTACTATATCAAATGTTGGTAATTAGCTGGATAGCTAAGCAAAGCTATACTAATGAACACACTGTTTGATTTATTCCTAACAAATTAGTTCTTGTATTTTTGGTTTTGGAGATGCTAAAACCATCCTACAAAAGCTCCTGAAGCTCCTTATTTTGTTACATTTATATGTGATATCTCTTACCAAGCTATCTGTCATCAAATTCCACTTTTTATCTGTAAAGCAAGATAAACAAACCTTCTATTGCTTTGTACAGTTTTTCATTGAGTCATTGAAAAAAAAAAAAAAATCTGAGCAAGGTCTCTCCCACTGTCAGCACTTCCACACTTTCAATGGCCAGTGCCTCTCAAGATTTACCCTGTGGGCTTGTATTTCCAGTCCTGAGCCTCTGGCGAAACAGCTAGAACCAGCCAGTTCCACAGGTCACTGCCCTGATGTAAGGCTGGTAAACACGTAATAGAGGGGTGGGATGAGATGGGATTGTGTTGTCTGGCAACATAAGGTTGAAACACTGCATGTGCCAAAGTGATTTGATGTTGTAGCCTACACTATGGTGACTTCTTCAGTATCGTTACTGTTTAGGTCTCTGACATTTTAATTGTTGAAGTAGAATATTAGCTCTGTGTTTATGCCAAATCATTTAAGTGTAAAACAAATCAATGCTACTGAAGAGTGAATGAAGCCACATTTGAAGTAAAACAAAATATTTTCGAAACTAATTTGATCTGCTCTTTAAACTCTACTTGTGCACAAGGTTGGACTTGGCAATGGCACTTTAAAACACCTGCCAAACAAAAAGCAGTCCGGACGGACTGCGCAGGCAATAAATCCTCATTTACGTGATGGTCACTGAGGTGTGACAAGCTGGCTTCAGCAAGAGGGAACTAGATCAAAGACTGGGCAGAGATGAAGACAGCGGGAAGGTGGTTCACCTCTCAGGAGAAGTTCTGTGCAGACGTGGACTTGACCTTCAAGTTCTCGCTCAAAGTAAACTTGAAAGTGGAACCCGGAATATAAATGGCATGTTTGTAAGATTTGAAATGAATCTGGAACAAAACTTTGACTCCTAATCCTTTTGAAACTCCTGATCCTTTTGAATCATCACTCTGTGCCTTAATGTGCAAAGTAAGATTACATCTGGGTGAAACCATCGTAATGTCAGTAGCAGCTCTTCAGTGCAACTGGACCATGCACAGTTCATGCGATATGATCACTGCAACACTATTGGGTTCAGCTGGTGGCTGTTTTCTCCAACCTTTGAGCTACTGATAATATCTCAGGGTGATAACCACATGTAACGGTCACTGGAGTTACAGATGAGACAGTTCCTCAATATGATACGCACCTTCCAATAGCTTTTCCTTTCTGTTTTGAAAGATGTTTTAGACGGACGGCTAAAAGGTGAAACAGGTACGTTTGGGAAATGCTGGCAGGCTTCTGAAAAATAAAATCGTCTCCCTTCCCCTAAATAACCAAAATAAAAATGCTCTTGTGTGAGATGCTTCATCCCAAGTTACAGTGGAGCTGCCTCTAACTGACAGCAGTGTGCTGAGGTTTCAAAAAATTTGATAAAATGATACCTTCAAATACAAATACTGCTCATGCTTTGGCACAAAAAGGTGCATTTTTTCAACAACACTCAGACAACAATGTGAAAGGTGTGAAGGATGATGGATGAATGGACTCTTTCTTTCTTTCTTTCTTTCTTTCTTTCTTTCTGACAATAGTTGTCTAAACCTCTAATCTGCAATTGTTAAATATTTAACCGATGAAGTGATGTGTCGGAGTCGGGCCTTTGTCACATCTTTTCATGCAAATTTAAATGATTTCCAAATAATTTCTGTCTTGGTTTTAGAATTTGTGCTTGTTGCAAAAAACATTTTCTAAGACTGCTGTGGTTTTATTGCGCAGCAGCAAGGTGTGATGTGCAGAGCGACGCAATATACATGCTCACTCACCCAGTCCAATAGATCATCTGGTATATGCACACAACTCAACCTTTTCACAGTTCATGTGGGTTTACTGAGCAGTGGTGAAGGATTGATGGCACTGAAGTTCTCTTTGTTATTTGCACATTTAACAAGTGATTATGTTTTTACAGTTTTAGATTGTTTTGAAGACTGAGTTGATTAGAGACTATGCACAGTAAAGTGTGTTTCTGTAAAGCTTATTAGATGGTTAGTGAGCAGGTGGATGTGGTGGTGTGTTGTTTTGTGCTGTGGTGGGGGCAGTCTAACATAATCAAAGTGGTGAGTTGATCTCTTGATGCCACAGTTAGCTGCAGTGAGGAGCGCTATTAACTGTAATAATCAGGCATTTTAGACCTGTATGTCATAGCTTCACTGTGCAGACCTGCGCACATGCACAGCAGTGCGTCCAAGTTGATTAAAAGGCTTCATTTAATTGGTCCCGGTCAATTAACCAGGCACGTGTTTGACACATCTGCGGTACATCTCAGCTCAACTGGTAATATATAAAACACATGTTCTCAATTGTGATGAATAAAACAATGTACACAATGTGACCAATCAGCCCGCTGGGGCGCCTAATTAGCATGATTAATGAATTGTGCACTAGAGAGGAAAAGCCACCAGGTGTCAATGTGTAATTCCGGAACCAGCCTAAAAACAGAGACTTGCTTGGTGTATTAATCAGGCCTGGGGGTGATTATTGGTTCGTGGTAAAAGGACATAGTGGGATCGATCGCAGCTATAAGCTCGCGGGTCCAGCCAGAGTGTGCGTCAAGCCTGGAGACTTTGTTGTCATCAGTTTGGGAAGCGCGCAAAGAGGCGCACATGAGGAGGACGCGTGGCGTCCTGTCGTCTCTCCTTGAGGGCAGCAGTGATGCCGGAGCCGCCTATATAAGAGCTTCCAAGAAGCTCCTGATCAGTCTATCATGCACTTGCTGCCAACGCTTCCCTAGACATCGCCTCTGTCCGCGCCGTGCACCGTGCGCTCCTTCACCGCTCCGCGCTCACATGTAGACTCACGCTCTTCAGCAGCTCAACTCAGGATTTCTATCGGATTTCTCTCTCCACAATGCGCTTCGAGCAACGCGGAATTTTAACACAAGAACTTTGAAAAAGAAGAGTGCCAGGGCGCACAGGAGGCTCCAGAGCGCAGGCAGCATGTTTAACTGGAGACTAGTGAACGCGGCTGCCTGGAAGTCACTCCACATGAAGTTGTGAGTATGAGAGAAAGAGATCAAACAGGATTTTCTCGCGGTTAGGGTCACCAAGCAAGTAGCCTACACTCTGGGCGTGGACAATGGATACTTTAAGTCTGTCAGTGAACGCTGTATCCTACACTGTGGCAGCTGAACTCGCCACTACTGATGACCCGTTTAATGGACCCATTAAGAACATCGCGCCGTGGAACTTCACTATCCTGGCCGTGCTCATGTTTGTGGTCACGATGCTGTCTCTGGGCGAGAATTTCCTGGTTATGTTTGTTACTTTCAAGTTCAAACAGCTCAGACAGCCCCTGAACTACATTATAGTTAATTTGGCCATCGCTGACTTTCTTGTCTCTCTCACCGGTGGACTAATAAGTTTCCTGACAAACGCCAGGGGTTATTTCTTCCTTGGGAAGTGGGCTTGCGTCTTGGAAGGGTTTGCCGTAACATTTTTCGGTAGGTTTACACATTTGCTCCTTTTTTTCTTTCCAAGTAGTACTGTCAATGCAGGGCTGCATAAGCACAACTTCCACAACTGTAGGTGTCAGTGTTGGAGCTTTTTTATATATATATTGCTAAAGATGTTAGATGATGAATTCTCAGCTTTCCATCAGCACTGACTTCAACATCTGTTCATGAATTAGAGCATCTGGGAGGGAAAATAAAAATGACGAATCAGTTCCACTACAACTGTTGGGAAAAGGATCAAGCTGACTGAGGGTCAGTTTGGAGTTCTGCTCAGTTTCTTTCTTGAAAAGACTGTTTCCGCAAAATAAGCAACATACCACTTCCTGTAGTGACAGGGAGACGCTAAACTAAGTTTTAAGAATCGTTAAATAAAATTCACAAATTCACTTTTTTTTGTTTTAGAGGGCAGGAAAAATATCATAATAATAACAGCAGCGATTTTTACAGTGTTGAACTTTGTTGTTCAATCAGATCTATAATAGATTTTGTATTTTCTCTTTAAATCTCAGTCCCAATAATGCAGCAGTGTAAGTGTAATTATGGAGCATATGGCAAACTAAAACCAGAGCACAAGGGTTGGAGTGATGGACATCAGTGTGTACAGTTAAGCAGGGGTTTATCCTATATTCTCAGAATAAAAAACTGCTTAAAAAGTCACTTGTCTGACTCATTGTTAACTTCTGCGAGCCTGTGGTGCAAACTTCCTGTGTCTGATATTTTTGAAAACTCTATCTGCAAGATATTTGCTGCTTGTGCTGCGATGTGTGTGTAAAAACACACCGCAAGCTCAGTAACAAAGCCCAAGGCAGAATTCAAAGCCGTGTTCGCAGCAGATGTTAGCAGCAGTGTGGGACAGAAGCCTCCTCACATACTGTAGTGCATGACTAGCCATAAGTAGGTTACCAGCACCGTGACCGCCAATAACATTTAAGTAAGTCAGTGGATTGGTTTCACAGCCTCTGCTGAAGTTCTATTTAAGATAGAATCAGAAGGGTCCCAAGTGGGATCCTGGGTGTCTGGTTGAGCAACCTGCAGTTCACCAAGAGGAGAGGGAATACTTGCTTATATCAGGCTCCTTATTCAATTAGGTAACAAGATTTGTGCTATCCCATTTTGTCATCTTGGACAACTTACAGTGGAAGTCACAGGATGTTTGTTTTTTTTTACAGACCCTAAAATTGCCAGATTTACAGAAAACATTAACTTATAATAGATCCTGAGGAGGATATGATGAGATTCATATGATTCTATGAGAATATTACAGTATTACTTTAACTTGCAATAGTTGCAATTTAATGAGACAACTTTGGTTTCACATGCCAGACCTGAATTAGGTTGTGTATTAACTGACGACATACAGTGTATCCCCAGGATATAGAGCAGACTTTACGTACTGATTCGGGAGAAAGAAAAAATCTAACTACACATGAATTTTCATGGATAAAATTCATGGTGACCCCTGGGTGCAGTATAATGCACTGAATTAACTCCCAAACAAGTGCCATTATGTATGATTAAGAAGTGTTAAAAAACCAAATGGGTCAAGGCAAAGAGCATCTGCAGCACACAGCAGCACAAAGATGCATTTTTGTTGTGAGGATGAGAAGCTTCCGCAGTGTGAAAAGAAACCATGATGTATAATCAATAGCTCTCTGATGTGAGGCATACATGTTCAAGGAGCTTGTGGTGGAAAGCCACTCAGCTTTTAGCCTTGACAGCAGTTTCAATGATTGACAGCTTTGTTGCATTGGTATCACCTGTATGGATGTGTGTGTGTGTGTGTGTGTGTGTGTGCGTCAGGTGTGTGCGTCTGTGTGCGTGTGCGTGTATGTGTGCGTGTGTGTGCGTGTGTGTGTATGTGTGATTGAATTGGAAACTGATTGAGCTGACCCAGCTCTTCCCCATGAGCAAGATGGATGCTCCACTTAATATTCTGCTCAGGGCGAGTATATTTTCTCTCTCTATTTTTTAGTTGGTCCTGTCTATATGCATGCACCTGTGCTTCACAGACAAATACATTAAAACTTAATGGACAGAAGCAGGATGGTCTTTGATGGTCAGTTTTAGTTTTCTTTAAAAACAAAAAACAAAAAAAACAGCAGTATTGAAGTATTGCTGTTAATTTTATTTCAAAGCCTCTTGTTTAGATATGTGTGACATACTTGAACATCCTGGTTTCCACCTCTCTCTTTTGTCATCTCTAGTGAGCCTGGTAGGCAGACACTAATAGTTCCTGGCTGTGGAGGGATAGTTAATTAACAGGTCTGTGAGAGTGGCTTATTAACATAATTATAGTCTGCTTTTTTTTTAGCCCATTGGAAGGCAGCGTAATGCATTCACTTCAGATCATTAAACTATTTGGAGTAGCAGCACCGCCTCTTCTTTACGTCTGTGCAGCACAGAATAGGATACTTTGTCAAAGTTAAGAAATATGTTTACACTGTAGAGGGAGGGGTTGAGCAGGAAATCCCTGCTGAGTACATTACAAAAGTGTGAAGCAATGAGATTTCACACTCTGGTGATAAAGGAGTGAATCTAAAAGAGATGCAGAAACAAACATTATGTGCTCAAACACTGTTGCTTTCCAGAAAATTATTTCAATAGGTTTATTACTGTGTGAGATATCAAATAAAGAACACCGAGCTGTGATCTCATAGTTCATAAAAAACTGATTCCCGGGGGTGTGTGTGTGTGTGTGTGTGTGTGTGTGTGTGTGTGTGTGTGTGTGTGTGTGTGTGTGTGTGTGAGTGTGTGTGTGTGTGTGTGTGTGTGTGTGTGTGCGTGTGTGTGTGTATGTGTGCTTGTGACTGCTGTTGTCCCGCTGAGCCCCCACACGCTGACCTCCTGCTGTTTGCCACAGGGATCGTAGCCCTCTGGTCCCTGGCCGTTCTGTCCTTCGAGCGGTTTTTCGTGATCTGCCGGCCTCTGGGGAACATCCGACTGCAAGCGAAGCATGCAGTCCTGGGTCTGCTGTTCGTCTGGACCTTCTCCTTCATCTGGACCTTTCCTCCAGTGCTGGGCTGGAACAGATATACTGTAAGCAAGATTGGAACCACCTGTGAGCCTGACTGGTAAGAAATTAGCTTTTTATTATCTCTAACCCGCAAAGATTGATGACTGTTAAAAACCATTGCACGAAAGAGCAAAATTTATTTTAAAGGGTCAATCCAAACAAATCACAATATTTTTTTCTCCCTTTTTTTGTTGCAATTTCTTACTTCCTGAAAAATAGTCCCAGTGAAACCTGGTGACAGTGAGGTGTGTGGAAAATCCTTTTGGAATCGGTACATTTTTCCTGGAAGGACAAATTCCTGTGGAATTTTTCAGACATTGTTTTTAGTGCTTTGATCATCACAAACAGAATTAAATTCTCCGCAATTTTTCTGAGGTGGCAGCACAATATCAGAGCGCAATATCTCAAAATCCTGGCACAAAATCAATTCCATGGCTCAATACCACAATGAATGAGAAAATAAGTTTTCTGCCATGTGGGTGAAGTGACCTTTTAATACTGAAAACTGTAGTTAGTATATCTTTTAGAATCTTACATTGTGCACTGATGCAGAAAAAAAGCTGTTTTTTTTAAGTATTGAGAAATGTTGGTATGTTAGTCACAGCTGCAGTCTAATGTATGTGCTGAGGACCACTATTTCCCCAGACACACATATACACAAGCACACATTTCTCCCTATAATTCATAAAGAAAAAATGTATTCTGAAACTAAGTTTTACTTTCTTAATCTAAAAAAGAAACCAAACTTTAAACCTGCGGCAGTTGATTTTCTGACCACTTGGTGGCAGCCCAAAAACCTGTAAAAACAACACCTTAAAAAGTTCAGTTGCTCTGCTTTGGTTTCCAGCAAACCCCTTAAAATATATCTGGGAAATATCTGGCTCTTCAGCTGCTACATGCACCACTATGTTCACCAGCGAGTCACTAACGTTGCCTGTCTGTTGTTTGCTGTTGGGCAAGTGGTGCACAGGCCTGTTTTCCTGACAACTGCCCACTGCAGCTGGCAAAGAGGCTGATGAGATTGAACCAAACTGTTGAATTATGGGTAAAAGTAAAACGAGCAGAAAGAGGCTAAAACGGGATTGATTTTATGTGGGTTCAGCCCTATGACCAATCCCTTTAAATTACACATTGTTACTACGAAAATATTGCTGACAGAAGCTTTAAATGTAAACCTCATGGTAAACCTGGTGGTTCAATCTAACCTTCAACCCAGAAATACTGTATATTCCTTATTTTTCTTACCACCCACACAGACAGATAAAGATCATAGACATTCCACACTCAGCCCTGTGGCTCAGATCTACAATGCTGCTTCAGCTGTATTAGCTCAAACTGTGTAAATGTGTCTCATGGAAAAAGTCAAGGAACAGGTCGGCTCTAACCTTGGCCCTCAGGGTGCCATCTGGATAATGCTATTTAGCTGCTTTGATCAAAGGCGTGCAGATATGGGGCTGAGTGTTTGCCTGCAGCCCTTTAAGGGAACCATTGCTCAGCGCTGGGGGAACAAATGGTTCAGACAATACAATTAAGAGATCACCTTACGGAGTATCTCCATAAGATGACGCGATCCACCTCCGGCTGCATACAGCACAAGTTCTGTCAGAAACCATTTGGTTAACAGCAGGAGCCCAAACGGCACAGGTGTGTGAGGTCCAGAGAGTTGACACATGCATGGCCTGGCGCATTTTAAATGCCTCATTTATGTGCATGGGTTTATCAGCAGGTACATCCTCATGTTCATCACTGGATGAGTTCTGAATTTTAAAAAGCATAAATGCAGGAGCAGTTGGTGCATTGTCAGTAGGTGGCTTCGTCCTTGGAGAGGGATTGGAATACAATGTGCCACCAGTATACCGCTGACTTTCTTTCAAAGCCCTTCCAGTGCTCAGCTATTGTGGAAGACATTTATTAAAAAGACACACACACAGATGGAAATTGCCAGCTCCAGTCCCGGGAGTTGCTGGGAAAATCTGCACATGAACAGTAAATCAGTAACCCTATCCCCTGCCCTCATTAAACTATCATTATCATTTTTTGGCATGATGGCCTGTTGCCTCTCTGTTAAGTGATGGAAGCATAGACATGAGGGTACATCACATTATGTATAAGACGAACATAATGAGGAAGGTGAGAAAACAACTGGCAGCATCTGTTACGCTAAATGGACACTAGTTTTGTTTTAGACTCAGTCCTTAGACAGAAATGTAGTTTTAGTCACATTCTAGTTTATTCTAGTTTATTTTAGCAAAACTAAAATATTTTAGTTAATTTCAGTCTAATTTGAGGATACACAATCTTTGATGTGTGCAGTTTCTGTGCTTCCACATTTATATGAAAAGACACTTTTTACCTTGTAACAGACTTTAATAGAGTTGTCACTCCCAAACTCTGGCTTTTTGAACAAAGCTTTTCAACTCATCGTTGTTCTTTCTGACCCGGGCTCTCTACTGTCACTTCCTGGTTCACTGAAATTTATTACCTGTCTGGGTTTAACTTGAGATAAAAAGCTAAAACCTTAAAATTAATTAAATAATTCAAATTGAAGATTTAGATGGTAGACGGGCCACATTAATCCTGCACCAATTGCCTGTGAACACAAAAAATAGCAAGCTCAAAGTAATGCTAACATTACCTGAAAGTAAAATTACGGTTGTATGGTAATGTTTCTTTTGTTTGTTTGTTTTTTTTTTTTTTAATAAAAATTAATTATAAGAAAACAAACAGTTAAGGCCAAACCATATCTTATCATTTACTTGACCTACATCAGTACATCAACGATTAGTGCTGAGACTCCATACCAGAGAGGGATCATCTAACATAGAAACACAAACACAAGGAACACTGAAACAACACATAATGTAAACACACTTACATGCAACCATGGACACACAATAATACATATGTTTATGTGGAACTACTTCAGGTGTCTTTACATCTGAAAATCTTCCCATGATAAATATTGTAGCAGTACAATGTACATCTTTCCTTATTAATCTATATTCCCACAGGCAATGAAAAAGTGACATCATAACATTTAGTACAAGTATCAGGATAAAAGGATTTTGACAGGGGATCTCTGTTTTTCCTCACATATTTTCCTCAATTCATTGATTGTCAGTCGTCATTAAGCTCTGTCCTCCATGCTTGTAAATTTCTCTCAAGTAGAGATGTCTCAAGGGAGGAGATCAATCCTTTAACATGGCAATGTTTTAATGCCATTTCTTCTGAGGTGATAAGAAAAGGATAATCGTGTTGTTGTTTTTGAGCTGTATATGTATAATCTATCTATATGAAAAATCTAATTTAGCTGCCAATCTCTCCAATCTCTCTAATGCCCCTACTGACCCACACCCAGAAACCTTAATCTGACCTTCCAGGTATAAATTCTGAGTTACCTCATGTAGGACTAAATAGGGAGAGAGGTTGGTGTGTGTTCATGTACTTCTGGATGTCATACCTTACATTGCTCATCATTAATACAGTGGGGTTTTGACGAATATAACTTAAGACCCAGTGCTAAATTTGACACAAGCTTGTAAGTCAACAAACATGGGACGATATTTAAAGAAAAATAATTCATGATTGCTCGTAGTTGATCTGGTTATCCCTGTCCATTTGCTATTGTTTGATTTGTCACGGTGGTTTTCCTTGTTATTGTCCTTGGTCATGATGAGCTTTTTTAAGCTGTAACAAACTTGATGCAGCATCATTGCATCATAATTTGTGGGGAAAAGTGAATAAGCAGTGCTTGCCCCTCCCCCATCAACACCACTGTGATGCCTTTGAGCAAGACCCTAAACCCCTACTGCTCCAGGGGGAGCGGCTCAATGACCAGTGGCTCACACTGTGGTTTGTACTGGGCAGCTTCCAAGTGTGAAGGATTGTAATTGATGAATGCGATCAGGGATTTCCTGTAAAAGAGAAGGTGTCTTTCAGTGAAACTACCCTGAATTAAATAAGAATTAGAATAATGAAATAAAAAATAAAGGAGTAATTTCTGTTGTATGTCTGATATCAACTTTGTTCAAGTAGTTTAATTTTAGTTTTAAGGCCATTTCATTATTTGTCATTTGTTTTCACTTTGTCATTATCAGTCATTGAGGGATGGACAAAAATGCCAGTTTTATCGATTTAACATGAAATTTATGACACAAATGTGCAGAAAGTGAAGTGGTCTGAATACTTTCTGAAGCAACCGTATCCAGTACTTCCCCTGTTTCTGTAAGAAGTGAGAATGATGGCTGATATAAAATATAAAACCTGTATATATATGTATATACCTATACCTATACCTATATAGGTATAAATACCTCTGAGAAACTTTCAAATGTGACACAGGACTGAGCTCCCCAGTGTAAATGAGGAGATTCACTCTGACAGTGAAGTGGACTGTTAGTGAAAGGGGCACACCAGCTGGTGGTGGAAGGACTTATTCGTTAAATGAATTACATTTTGTGGACTTGTGTGACAGTTTTGGCAGGTGTGGCTCATGTGATTCACCTAATCAAAAATGACAGTTTGGCTGGCGACAGCAGTCATGGAGATGATTTAAATGCCGCACACAGACAGAAGTCACTGAATCTCACATTACTTTGACCTCCACACCATAAGATGGAGCTGCTGAGAGAACTGAATGGTTTGTTCTGTACAGTGACTGATGCAACTCCTCAACAATTAAGTGGAGTTTCCTACCTCCGAGCTTTTACAGGGAGCACAGAAACTAACTAAATGGCCTAAAACTGACACAGGAATATATCATGTTTTAATAACACTACAGACAGCACAACCAAAGGGTGCATGGCTGTCTGTAAGGGTGCAATTAGGAGAAAAATGAGCACCCTGGGAGAAAGTCTGAGTGATTCAGGTGGGCTCAGACCTGCACATGTGATATTTAGATATATATTTAGAGTTTTAGGGCCTCAAGTGAGCTGAGCTATCACAGGAACAAGAATTTACAGAAGCACCCCTCCCTGTTTAGAGTTATTTTGTGCAGTTATACCTAACAATCCCTCACAGCACTAATGTGTCTTTTAATCACAGTATGACACTGCTCGCTTGCTGATGAAACATTGCTTTTTTTCAGTTCAGTTTTTCAGTCTTCATCAAAAATCAAAAGTGGAAAGTTACATTTATGTTTTTGTAATAGTTGATATATGTGTGTTTAAATGGACTAAAAAGTAAATGTCAACCTCTTTTTCTGTCTTGGAACAGGTATACAACCAACATAATAGATCACAGCTACATCATTACTTTCTTCACCACCTGTTTCATTTTCCCGCTTGGAGTGATTTTCTTCTGCTATGGGAAGCTCCTCCGGAAGCTCAGGAAGGTCGGTTCTTACACAACACACATGAAAAGCATTTACTTTCTGAAAATGACTTTATAAGACATTTGTATAAGGTGTGCTTTCAGATTTCACACAAGTGCATTGCAATCATCCTTCTGTCATTAGAAAAGATAGAAACTTGGAAGTCAGCAGCATGGAAGGAATCAGACTCCAGGAGGGCGCTGATGATCCACATCCACTGAGTTAGACTAGTTATCTGAAAATCTTTCTCTGATTAGGGCTTTTATTACATGGACTACACTAATGCACATTTTGCTATGTTTTTGGCATATGGCATTACTCTGATGTGGTTTGGTTTGCTTAAAGTAAAGCTGCAATGTCAGTCTTGAGATCTGAAATATGCAGCTGACATGATAGAAAGAAATATGCATGCACCTCTGGAACTTTACTGGGTTTTGATTGAGTCCACAGTCATGCTGCATCTGTAGATGAAATGTTCATGGATGGTGAAAAAAGAGCATTGAAAATGAATTGGACATATTGGAGCCTTTGTGGGACATAAAGACTATTTCATGGTGGTTGCAGTCAAGGCTGAATTACCAACTGGGGGAGAAGGAAACTGCCCTTTAATTGAAACCCATCTGCAAATTTTGGTGACCTGCTGTAAACGGACATATAGTTAATTAATGGAAGGAGAGGCACAATAGGGGCTTCATCAGTAACAATTAAACTGAAAGGGGCCCTGTAGAGTTTTCTTTTTATTTTAGTAAATTAATTCTTTATCTAAAATAGTAAATATTTCCTGGAAACTCCCTATCATTTAATAAGAGTGACTAGTGACCGGCCCAAAAACAGTATGGCCGAAATAGAGCTTTTAGTGTCTCATGTTGGTTTCAAAAGCTCAGAAATGTGTGAAACACAAACTAAATATTTCAAAATGTCAGAATGAAAATATTCAAGCTTAATTTCTTTTTTGAAAAGTTGACTAGCAGAGCATTGAAATAAAAGAATTTGGTGTTAGTCTTGAAAACCCCGTATTTTTTTTTAAATCCTAACAGATTCTCCTCAACGAGTTAGAAAGTTCTGTAGGGTCAGTCATAGATTTCTCTTTCCTCCAGGTATCTCATGGTCGTCTGGCCAATGCCAGGAAGCCAGAGCGGCAGGTGACCCGTATGGTGGTGGTCATGATTGTCGCATTCATGGTGGGCTGGACGCCGTACGCTGCCTTCTCCATACTGGTCACAGCTCATCCATCCATTGAACTGGATCCCAGGCTGGCTTCCATTCCCGCCTTCTTCTCCAAGACAGCTGCTGTCTACAACCCAATCATCTACGTCTTCATGAACAAACAGGTAACTTTTTCATTTTAGAGGCAAATCTTTGTGTTTTTATTTCAGTCAGCATCAGGGATCCTGTTTGATGTGGTCGTACAGTGCCCAGTACCAAGCTGGTTAAAGCAGTGTAGACGGTAGGTAGCTGAAGTCTTTCCTCTGCCACGTTTCAGACACGTCACTACATGTATGCAGCAGATAAAAGCTGCTGCAGAATACTGAGATGTTTTTTTTTCTTCTGTTGTTGTCGGATGTTAACCTGTCTTTCAATAATTCACAGTCTATGAATAAAATACAATTGTCCATGCATGCCTCTGTTGTTAAAAATACGCCTGCAATGTGCCTGTTAGTCTTCCAAATGTGAAAGGGCTGGTGTTGACCTGTCTTTGTGCCATTTGCTTTGTTTAATTTTACATTATGTTGTCTAGCTCTTTTCCTCAGAGTAAGTGAGACACACACACACTCTCTGGGTAATCACCGTTGACTGTGCAAATATTGACAGCATGACAGCAGCCATTAGAAAAGAGTGAATATGTGCAGTTCTTTAACACATGACATAGGATTGTTGGTTAAAAGGTCTGTCCATATGTTTCTAGATTTCATTGGAGTTATGGTGTAAAACACAGTGCAATTATTTTGACAGCTTCTCTATAAAACAATCGTTCTTAATTCAGAGTAACAGTTTTTGGCTGGACCTCAGCAGCGGGGCTAGAGTTATAAACGCGAATGGCCGTGACTGAGTGGTGAAGTTACACTATTGGTCAGCCGGCCGAGTGTTGGAGTTTCCCCACTGGCCGTTGCTCTTTCAAAATGAATTGGCACAAACAAGCAGTGTTGCCACTGCTACTTTCCATAGAGGAGAGTAACTAGTGTTGTCCTGCGAGCAAGAGGCACACCTCTCTAGTTCAGTGAGTGGCAGAGACACTGTGCTGTGTGAGACAAAATAAGATCCATATCACGGTCATAAAAATGGGATTTTAGCAGGCCTGGACATTAACATGTAGTTGTAATGGGCCGCATTTCAGTAACCATTTCAAACTTGTTCCATTGTCTGAAAGACAGAAACAGACAAACATAAAAATGCAAATGTAAATGACGCAAATGAGAAAAGTTTTATTGGGATTTTGGCTGTATTAAAATACTGTATATGTGAGCACTGAGAGGAGGAGAGAAGCCGTGACTCCATCAAGCAGCAGTTTGCATGATGCAACCTTGTTCAAAAGCTTGGAAAACATTCTCCATCATTAGCGCTCTGGCGGTTGTGTGAATTGTGTACATGACGCACAGAAAGATACTTGTGCAAACAGTTGCACCCTGTTCTTCAGCCAAACAGTTCCCATGTGCAGAAACAGAGCTCATAGTGTCCTTAAGCAAAACGCTGCTGCCCCGTGGGGCTGTCTGCTCCTCGGATGCTGGAGTCACCAGCGTTAGTGCTGCTTTAGGTCTGTTGAATATGAACACGCTGTGTCCAATTTACTGGCATCACATCAGTTTCCGTTACTTCTCGCTGCGTTTTGGAGCCACCACTGAAGAAGACAGTTCATATAAAACTTCTTTAAAAGTTAAAAGTTCTTTAACAGCCTTTTCATGTTAACATGTTTTCCTCACCATTAGCACATTGCTCCACTGACTGTGGCAAGTTTTCAACGGACATGACGGGTTTTATTTTTTCAGTGGTGTTCTTTACAGTCCTGCCAGTATAGTGGACATTAAAACTGTCAAGGCCAATTATGATGAACATGTCCAAATATGGGACTTGCCTACAGTACAATTAAAAGTGATCTATTTTCAGAAAGTGGAATAGTCCAACTATATATATCTGTGTGTGTGTGTGTTTGTGTGTGTGTGTGTGTGTGTGTGTGTGTGTGTGTGTGTGTGTGTGTGTGTGTGTGTGTGTGTGTGTGTGTGTGTGTGTGTGTGTGTGTGTGTGTGTGTGTGTGTGTGTGTGCGCTGGGCATGATGCCTAAATCAGACCCCCAGTTGCCAGGCAGCTGCATGCTCCACTTCAGTGTCAGCCTGTGTCTCCACTAAGGCATTGAGTGGCTGTAAATAAGGACAGCTAACAGGCAGATCCTGGTTTTAACAGAGCTCCCACTGCTTCACCCAAATTGTGCCTATCGAAGTCAGCTGATCTCTAGGGCTTGATCGTAATACCCCTCCCTGTCTCCCTCTCTCTGTCTCTCTGAGTTACATAACAAGGTCCAGGATTTCCATGATTCATGACCACAGCCACTTGTAGTAGTAATCGTTGAGTCAAAAAGCCCTTTAGGATCTACTATGTCAAAAGGCCGAAGGCGACAGAATAGATTAGAAATATCCAATTATCACTTGTGTAGGTATTATTTAAAAATCCATTCCACATGAGGCTTGAACGGTCTTTGATCACTCAGTGCCAAACTGCTTGATCAATGGAAAAGGAAAGGCAGGCGACTAAAAATAAAGCATGTGAGAAAGTAACATTTGAACTTTTGACAGGAAATACTTAATTTAGTAAATTGATGTTTTGCCCGCTGGGGTCTTGATTTAATTGATCCGTTTTGAGAAAATATACTTTTTTCTCCTTCCACTCCCATAGATTGAGTTTCAACTCCAAACATTCAAACGCTCATGCCATCACACAGTAAAACCATACTCACCTTGTGAAGATATTCTTTTTATTTAATGATTTACTGTACATAAATAGATGTAGTAAGTGCTTTCATGTACCAAGAGAGTGCTTTACTCCAGTGTACCTGAAAAGTTGGTCTTGAGGCCAAGGAGAATATATAGTATAACAGAAGCACTCTTCTTTGTGCAGCTCGTAGGTATTTAATGGAATCAAATTCTCAAAAGAAAGGCATTCAAAGTGTTATCTGTGGAATAAAATGTGGTGAAAAGTTTCTATGTACCTTATTTCAATGCTTACCAAAGTACAGTATCAAGATGAGTTTTATAGTCCAAACAGAATCTTATAATGTTTAAAAGGTTTTATTTCAATTTCAATCTCTAGCCACAACAGGCAGCTCTTTTAAATCCAAACTCTCTGATGAACCCACTGTACGCTACCTGCCCAGCAACTTCCCCAATATTTGACCAGATACTCTGTGATTTCCAGCTGCTAGATTACAGGTCAATATATGCTGGCAACTAGCAGCTATAGAGTCAAATATTTCCCTCAGGGGTTAGTGGAGACCAAAACAGAGCTAAAAGGAGAGTGAATATTTGACTTAATCTCCCTCTGAACTACATGTTGGGTAGCTTTGTAAACCCTGTCTCCCCACACATTTCCAGTCAGATAGTGAAGTATATATCAGACCATTTCGATAATTTTCCGAAACAGACGATCCGTCATTTACCCCCACTTCATACTGTGATTGGCCAGCTGTGTGCAGGAGAGAGAGAAAAGCCAGGCGTTGTACTTCTCTCTGTAGATCTTTTTTTTTTCATTTGTTACACAACTACATTATGTGTGGCACCTTTAATGTGAACAACCAAGTGCAATGCTATGAACATGTTGCTGGAGAGACTGACAATATGTCCCATAATCCAAGTTTTTAACGATACTGCGTCAAGACAGGCTTTTCACTCTGCCCTCTGTTCAGAACAACTATAAACATCAGATTTTTGACGTGGTCGGACAACGCGTCATTAGATAGATAAACTAAAGCTAATACTGCTAACAATCCTAATTCCGTATGTGTAATATAGACAGTTGTTTGCTAATACATTTGCATTAACACCTTTAGAAGGTCATTCTGTATGTTAGACACATTGTATTTTTTTATAGCTCATTGTGCTTCCCCAAAAATCAGTGAATTCAGGTTTTAGGTATGATTTTACCCAACAATGTAACATACCTGACACAAAATAGCATTTACATATTCAACTTTCTTCACCAGCTTTCCTTTTTTGAAATTGCAGGGCTCCTTTTTCCCCTTTAGCCTTTGACAGTAGCAACTTCTGTACAGACATTTTGGCGATATCCATTCATACAGTACAGGATGCTCACAATTATCATGGTATAGCAGTGTTATAATTAAAGGTGCAAGCATTAGAGGTGTTGGAAATTGATGCCACCACCTTTTGTGACTCCTTTCAGCTGTAAACTGCTTTAAAGACGCAGATGGAGGTGCTGTATGTGCTGTAGATGTTCTGGGTTAATGTGTTTCAGCTATTCATTTTGCCATTAAGATGACATTTTATGACCTTATTCTCTGTGCAGGAGTGTTTTAAAACCTCTGTTTTTCAGAGGAGGAGGGAAGTGTTGTAAGGGGGTTTAATGACATATTTAAGGTCCTGGAGTGAACAAAGTAATAGAGCGGCCTTTTGTTTTCCATGAGGGTAATGGAGGAGTTAATGCCACACTTCCAAAAGCATTACTGGCTTGACGGGGGTAGTTACGAGGCTTGCGTGTTAAATTAGACAGGTCATTAAGGGTCAGGAATCATGATTTCTCCCCAGGGTTTCACAGAGTGGGAGCTTCAACACTGAAAAAGGTCAATTAGTGTTTTTAGATTTAAAGTAATGTGGAAACCAATGATTGTGGGGCTATTAGTGAGGACCGGCTGACAATGGAAATGTGTGTGTGTGTGTGTGTGTGTGTGTGAGAAAGGACAATGTGCACACAATGCATGTTGTGTAATATAGTCACCAGAGGTGGACAAAGTGCACAGCCCCATTACTTGAGCTGAAGAATAGATACTCCTGGTCAAATATTACTCCAGTACAAGTGAAAGTTGTTCAGTCAAATTTTTACTTGAGCTAAAGTACTGGAGTACTTGATTTTAAAAATACTTAAGTATTCAAAAGTAAATCTTTTTAATGTCAACACATTGTGGTATTGTTCCACAGTGTATTTACAGAACCTTATCATTAGTAAAGTATGTATCTATCTATCTATCTTATCTAACCTAGCAGCATCAGGACACTGCTGAGTTCAAACTGAGCCATTCAAAAATGCAGCAGCGCAACATGACTGACAGTGAAGGAGGTGGCTATGATTGTTTTTCTCCTGTTACAAACACAGTCTATGGTCTATCACATTTTTCAAAATAAAATAAAATAAATTCCACTGACTAAACGCTGCTTCAAAGTAATGAGTACTTCATAGAAATATAGTGGAATCAAAAGTACAATATTTTACAGTGGCCCTGAGAGCTCAACACACTGCAACTTAAGAAAACACATAAATATACAAATGCGCTGCGTATTCAGAAGAAATCTTCATCAATTTAACAACACATGCGCTGCAAAAAATTGCAATGTGTGCTAATTATTAGTATTAGACATTAGTTTATATTCTGGAATTAGTGATGTTATGCACAGCGCTCAACAGGTTTTATACACTGGAACAAAAAAAGTTTAAAATAAAATAATACGTTAAGAGCTAATTATTAATATTATTAGTATTAGTATTAGTATTAGTATCTAAAAACAGACTTTTTTCATGTCCTTTAAACAAGATACCTAAAATGTTGTAATTTCAACCAATTTTAAGATCATTTCAAGCTAACTGTTTTCAATTCACTTGTTTTCTGCCCAGTTCAGGAAGTGCCTAATCCAGCTCTTCACTGGTATGGGGACTATACCAGACAGCAACCTGAACCAGACCTCAGAGCGACCCGGAATAACTGCAGAGAGTCAAACAGGAGAAATGTCAGCCATTGCAGCCCGCATCCCTGTGGGTGGCACTGCATCGCCCAGGTCTGATGATTCTCCGACCGACTGTGGCTCGTTTGCTCAGCTGCCCATCCCAGAGAACAAAGTGTGTCCAATGTAACAGTAAACCTCGTCCCAGTAGATGTCCTCTTACCGTCCTCTGACCCCGAGAGTCCATTATAACCTCCTGTGATCTAGATGCAGTGTGTTCCTGAAACTGTTCGGACATTTACAGGACTTTGTTAATTTCTTGGAGAGATTGAGGGTGCAGTGTGAACAACAGAGAGTCAACTTTTGATGGGTTTTCATAGTGGACGCTTCTAGCACATTTTTTATATTTCACTTGCAAATGTAAGTAAGGATAGAGACTAAACTTAAAATACAGTTTTGTGCTCTAGCATGATTCAGTAGTTTGTTCAATATTTGATTATAAAAGAAAAGCACAATAGCAGCGACAAGAACTGTGCCAAAAGAAATGCTAAAGAGATAAAGAGATTTACCCATGAGCTATCTTGTAAATATTTGTTTGCTGGACGTTCCTCTGTCCTGATATGAGACAATATCATGGATGTTCTCTTGACCATCATTACACACCTGCAAGTGTGTCACATTAGAGGGAACTTGATTTGACTTGATAGCATCTGCCTCCATATCTCCGTGAAAGAAAGAGAAACCTTGACATCGGTTAGCGTAGGGCTAGCCAGTGTTTTTCAAATAACACAATGCATCCAGCCTTTCATCTTGTCCTTGCCGTCTCCTTTGAAGCCCTGTGATGGCGCCTGCAGAAAGCATTGTTTTTCTGTGCTGTTTCATTACATAGGCAACGCATCCTCCATTCATCTCCACGTGTCAAGAGGACGGAGCGGTCGTCTGAATTTGGATACTTTTATTTTAGTTTATCCCATGTAGACTTGTTTGGGTCAAAGCTTTCATCTTTAATGAAGATGGTCAATCGGACTCTGAGATGCTGTGGTCTTCTGTTGCCTCTGTTGCAGACGTAGGAGGACAACATATTTATGAAGTGCCAGTATAGGATCAAGCAACACTCAATCATGCACTCAACTACAAGTAGCACATATGCATAAACCACACACACATACACACACACACGTATAGACGACCAGATGCACACGCATGAAGAAAGTAGGCCATCATTAGGACCAGGCTTTGATCCCCATGAGGACTTCTGGTCCTGACAAGATCAGTGTTTATAATTGGAAAAGGTCAGAAAGATGTAACAAAAATGCGCGCGCGCACACACACGCACACACACATGTGGGTACCCATCACTGACGTAATCCCTTCACCTTCAAACAGCCATTTAAATTTGTTGGGTACAGAATTGTGGTCCCCACAAAACGGTCCGTCCCCACAAGTAAAGTGGAGGTTGTTGGGCCCCACGCATATACTAAAACAAGCCCTCACACACACACACAGACACACACACACACACACACACACACACACACACACACACACACACAGAGATTGCAGTTCACTGCCTGTATTACAATAAGCTTTCTATAGGCACTGTGAAGATATTACAATGCACCAATAAATATCCTAGCACAAGAGTGGCTTAGCTAAGCAGCCATGTACAAAAGCAATGAGTATTCCCATCATTAGCACAGGTCAACAGCAATATTAAAGCTAAATACTGTCACACAGTCGAACACTTCAGTGTTAGCTACAGTAGATGTAGCAGTGAGTATTAAAATGTCTTCTACTTGACTTTGTGGTGCATGTTTGTTCACTATTAGTGGATATTTGTCAAAACATTGTTGTATTCTCTATGCTGCACAGTAATTCACAATGTTGAAAAAAAAAAAGTAAGAGTATGATGTCTGTTTGCAATGTACTGATCGTGTGTTCAAGTCATGTTTGGCCAGTCTGGTAGAGATAACATTTAGCATCTTTAACCACAATGCATCTGTGCCAAATTAATTGTGATGCCTTGATATAATTAGCATAACAACATGAGACCATGGTGAGGACAACTGGCAAGTTAGCCTCTATCCCACAGACAAGTTTCCCAGAATTGATTCATTTTTTCATTATCCTTGTTGCTCTGTTGTTAACTATGGAAACTACAGCCTTTTAAACATTTTTGGAACTTAAAGGTGCATTAATACATTTTTTTTGTTTCAGCAGTTGATAAAATGGTGGACAGACAAAGCTTGCGAACTAGCTAGAGAAGAAAGCTGAAGACAGCAAGACAACTTGACCCCAAACAAATGCTAATATTCCTCTGTTTCTCCGTATGTGAGTGTAAGTTGGCAACTGTTTGTTAACACATTTAGCCATAACAGTGTAATATGGTGGTGGCTGTGGATCTGTTGTTTTGTCAGTAAATCTACATTGGATATTAGGTTTTACAGGGATAGCTCAGCTTTTTTTTGACATAACATGATTTAAGTTATCCACCGAAAAAGTACATTAATCTGTGGACATGTGCACTGGCAAGGAACACTATGGTTATAGATCTCCCAGGGAGCTTCCTCCAAAAATGAACAGCAGCTGCAGCAAGAAAACAAAAGAAAAACGACCACACACCCCATTACATTATGGTCCAGCTTTCATGATCAAAGGCTCCTGTATGTAGTAATACACCAACTTACGTCAGCAAGCAAATAGTTCCTGAGAAGTCTGAGAGGAGATATCAGCTCAAGATGTTTAATCTCACTGTGTGAGTTATATTGTGGCTTGAAATACTGGTTGCTCATATTTGGATGACAAGGCAACATCTCTCTGGAGAATCTAGAACCACAGTGCTGCCGACTGAAGCTAACGTCCATTCATCAATATCAAGACTCCCACTATCTACCAGTGTGTCAAAAAAAATCCAAACTTTCTGTTCCACTGTCCACACACACTGTCTTCACCAGTTAGAACCAAAAAGCATGCGTTTTTACCTTCCCCCAGCCTCCCCACTACTTGCACACATACATATACCCTAACACACACACACATACACACACAGACCCATTTATAGTTATGGATACAGTTGGTGTGTAGGGGCTTTTTGGAAGGGTTTTTGCTTGTCACTGTCAGTAACTTGTGTCATTTCAGACCCAGCCACGCCCCCTCTGCCCAGTCTCCCGCCTGCTGGAAGCTCCGCCCCTACACACACCTGTTCCCATTAACCTAATCATCCCCTCTGTGTATATATATATATGTATATATACCTCCCTGTTGCCACTCACCAGTTGTCAGATTGTCTTTGTGCTTTTTGCCAAAAGTGCTGCAGATCTTTGTTCGTGTACCTGCCTGATTCCTGCTCCTGACCGTTTGCCTGCTTCATAATGACTGTACCTGCCCATCCCTTTGTACTGTTCCCTCTCTGGTTTGTTTGCTTTGTGTTGAACTTATCCAGTAAAGACTCTTTACCTGCCATCATTGACTCTGTTGTGCTTTTGGGGTCCCAAGTTTCTCAGAACATGATATAGTGACTTCACCTTGAAGATCAGACAGGATATAAATCTTAACAAAACTGCACGTGTTACATTTTGGTGCAAGGATTACAGACTGCACTGCATGCTGATAAGAGGAGGGAACACTTCCACCATGTATAGAAAGGCTAAAGCTCCTATTTCTCCTATTTTACCTCCCTGCCCTGAATATCAAGCTGCTCCAACTGTCTGTTGTATTGTAGGTATGTTGAGACTTGTTCTGCTGTATGGTTTTGTGTCATGAATATTTCTGTCTTCAGTTTGATTTACATGGCTTTATAGGTCATAGATGCACGCTTGTTATAAAACTGTCTGTATTAAAGTTTTTTTTTTTGAAAAGCAATTATGCACTGTGTTGTTTTCTTTTTACATTTTGCAACAATAATAATGAAAATGGGAGCTACTTAGTCTGATGGAGAGTGTTTAGAAGCTGTGGCTAGGACTCAGGCCACCTCCTCCAGTACTCCACTGAGCACTATACAGTTTGAGGTGCAGTCCAAATACATGAGGACCTTGTGAACTCCACAATCCATGTAGACCATCAGAGGAGGTCCTGAAACATCAGCTACAAAAAATGAATAAAACATGAAAAAGCTTACACTTACATGTACAGTACATAGCTCACCAACAAGCATTGTGTGGCATATAATGCTGCATAAGCAACCACAGTTAATTACAGTAACAATGACCCCAATTGCTCCATCTTATGCTGATTGATTAAAATCTGTGAAAGTTTTGTGATTAAAATAAGTGGAACAAAGAGAGAGGCCCTCTGCTGATCATAATTCTTGCCGACCGTGGGCTGAGTCGAGAAACTATTCATTTTTCTAATAAGACATAAAATACATTCACGCTGAAATGTTTTGTGTTTTTGACCATTTTGCTGAGTTGCTCTTACATTTGTTGATAATTTATTCTCTCAGGAAATTAATAAATGGCCTCATTATGCACTAACAGAAGTTTCATTAATTTTGTTTGTCTTCGGTTTTTGTCAAGGTGGGGGGTGGGGGGGCAGTATGATGAATGCATTGAGAAAGAGTTTGAAAAGCAGAAGATATTGTGACCAGGCCACACACTTTTCCACATGGCAGCAACCTACACTGCAGACCTAGACCTATGAATCTGGTAATCATGGCCTTAGTTAGTTTTATAAAGTCAGCATCGAGTTTGACTGCTTGAATTCATTCAAGATATTGTAGCTGACCACTACTGACATGTGAATAACTAGTGTTTGTCAGTGTTTTGCAAGTTACTTTAGAAATGTGATCAGTTTATTGTTACATATTACACGTTGAAAAACACTATATACTCTTACTTTGATTTACTCATAACTCAACAGCAACAACAGTATACATTTACTTTCATTTTCTCAGTTGAGCTAAGTCAAAAGTGCATTCAAACAACTCCAAAACCTCCACAAACACACATCACCTACTTTGTATCTAAAGATTTGTAAAGTTTTACAGCGTCCTGTGTTATTTTTCTGACAGCCTTACACACTACACAGGAGGAGGATCCAGAGTTTGGACCATGCATGTGGAGTACGAACAGTTGAAAACATCAACCCTGAGTCCAGAGGTTTTAACACATATACGAGACATTGTCTAGCTGGTGTTTAGCTGGCAGTGTATGTACAGAGACAAAAGTAGTAGTAAATCTTCATCCAACTGCT